AGAAAGGCCTGTCCTGTGAGAACTTCATAGGGAAACCTTACCTCCATCCATTCCACAATCCGAATATTACCCCTCCAGACTTCTTTTTCTTCTCAAAAGTCAAAGAAGACTCAGATTTACAAGCATCAAAGTTATGTTAACCTTAAAAATATAACACATTCATAATTTGATATCTATTTACCTGTATATATTCAGCTATGGAAAAGAATGTGGGAGTTAGACAAATGAAGCTTCTCTCACCTCTACGTTTCTGGAAGGTACATTGTCTGACATAAAGGAGGGAATCAAGCAAAAAATCTAGAAATAGATTTCAAGACTCACCAAGAGAAAGCATTATTTTAGAGGCAGGAAAGATTAGAACCCACGTAATGCGGTTCAAGCTCACCAGTTGCTCCTTGGAAACCCTATATAGGGTCACTATGGGTCGGAATCGACTCGATGGCAATTGACAACAACAACAAATCTGAAAAAAAAAAAAAAAAGGAGCTCTGGTAGTGTAGTGATTACAAGTTGGGCTGCCAACTGCAAGGTCAGCATTTGAAACTACCATCGGTTCTGTGGGAGAAAGATGAGGCATTCTGCTCCTGTAAAGATTTACAGCCTCAGAAACCCTGTGCAGGGTACTCACTATGGGTCGGAACCGACTCCACGGTGCTTAACAACAGCAAAATCTGAAAATAGTTACTGCTAATAAGAAATGAAATGAACTATTAAAAAAAAAAAGTCAAAGAACATTTAAAAGGAGCACTATTTAAGTCCCTTCAGGATGCTAAATTTCCTGTATTCTCCTCCTTTACTAAGTTCTCAAACCCAGTTTCCAATTAAACCCTTTTTAGATAGTTGCTGCTCTAATTTTTCTGTCACTTATTGCTGAAATGCTTTAGTTGGTGTCCATTATTGCTAATGCCATTTATAATGAAGCAGTAATTTATTACAGTAAAATAACTCCTTTCGCGATAAAAAGGAAGAAAAGATCCCGTTTATCATAAAAGCACACAAAATACCTAGGAATAAACCTTACAATAAAGATGCAAGATTTCTACAGTGTACTTTTAAAAAATACTGAGCCACATCAAAGACCACTTTTTCAGATGGAAATATCTATCACCTTTTCATAGATAAGTAGACTCAGCATCAGAAAGATTTTAATTTCTTTAAGTTACTTATGAATGTAATACTTATTTTTTCCAGCTTAAACATAGTTTTTATTTAGCTAGTAGACTGATTCTAAAGTTTATATGGAAAAATGTACAGTGAAGACTAACCATAAGAAGATTGAAAAGAAGCAGAATAAAGACTGCCCTATCAGGTATTAAAATATATTATAAAACCTTGATAGTTAAATTTTTTTTTTTTTTTTTTCCCTTGGCTGTGAGTCATATCTTGCTAAGTAGTGGTTTACTTTGTGAGTTATTTTTTTTTTTTTTTTTTGAGGCCAGGGTAGTCAGAACAGTGGAATAGAATACTCGGAAATAGACCCCAATAGAAAAAGGAATTCAGTATACGATAAAGGTACTAGATCAAATCAATGGAATAAAAATTCAATGAATGATGCTAGAACACTGCTATAGAGCCATATTAAAAATTAAAAAGTAAAACAATATTTTAAATTTTTAAAAAGGGAAAAGCATGCAAATTCTAGAAGGAAACATAGAGAATTCCATTTATCTTGGTGTGAAATAGGGAATGCCTAACAGTGATTACAGATTCAGAGATCATAAAAGAAAAGATTAATAAATTACATTACATTTTAGAAAAAAATTTGTGTATCAGAAGACCCATAAACAAGGTCAAAAGACAGACAAAAAGAGGTGAGTACAGGGACTGATTTCTCTAAACAGTTAGTTGAAGTCAATACAAAATAAGACCAGTAACCCCCCCCCGCCCCCAAAAAGGTTGCCTAGGAATATACACAGTTAACAGAAAATGACTTACAAATAGCTTTTAGAACTGAGAAGATGCTTCAAGACACTCATTATAAGAGAAAAGTCAAAACCACAGAAACCTTTTTAATCTCTCCAATCTGTGAAAAACTCAAAAGTTTACATAATCTGTTGGGGAGATTAGAAAAGAGAAGTACACACTAAGTGGGATCATAACATTAATGTAACACTTAAGACAGCTTAGCAGTATGTATCACTTGAATTGCTTGATTTCACAATCAATACACATGGAAATTGCAGTCAAGAAATCAAAAGACATGTTGCATTAGCCAAATCTGCTGTAATAGATATCTCTAAGGAGTTCATGAGCAAAGAACAGTTTGAGGATTTAAGTGCACCTGATCCAAGCCATAGTGCTTTCACTCACCTCATGTGCATGTGATAGTGGGACAGTGAATAAGCAAGGCTGTAGAGTAATTAATGCTTTTGAATTAAGTTTATTAGTGAAAAATGTTGAACATACCTTGGATTGGCAGAAGAACAAACAAATCTGACTTGGAAAAGTACAGACAGAATGCTCCTTAGAAGCCAGGATGGTGAGATTTGCCTTTATTCTTTGGGCATGTTGACAGGAGGAAACAGTCCATGGAGAAAGAAATCATGCTTGAGAAAAATGGATGGTCAGTGAAAAGGAGGTAGACTCCCAGCAAGATGGCAGCGACAGTGGTTTCAAAATAGCACAACTTTGTGGATGGCCCAGGACTGGGAAGTGTTTCACTGTGTTGTGCACAGGATCTCTATAAATCTGAACCAGATAAATGACACTAGACAACAACAACATCACAGTTACAAAGGATCCCTAGTGGCACAGTGATGAAGCATTCAGCTACTAACTACAAAGTTGGCGGATTAAACCCAGTGTGCTTCTGTAAAGATTTACAATCTTAGAAATCCTGTGATGCAGCTCTCTTCTGCTCTATAGGATTGCTGTGAATCAGAATCAACTCAGCCAATGACACCAGGTTTGACTTTAGGTTATCACGTTTAAAAATGCATGTGCTCTTTAAAATGATGTGGCTATTAGAAGGAGGAGGAAGGAGCTTTCTGCTGACATGGAAAATTCTCCAAGAAGTATAGAGTGAATAATTCAAGATGTGTGCTACCTTTTATTAAACTAAAGGCCAAAAATGAATACATATTATTTTGTTTGTATTTGCTTGATACACAATAAAACTAATAAAATGGTTATCTTGAGAAAGTTTCACCATATTATTTTTAGAGTTAAAAAAATAATATTATGTTTTTGATGAAGGTTTACACAGCAGTTAAGGTTTCCATTCAACCGTTTCTACACAGACAGTTCAGTGGCTTTGGTTGTATTCTCCACAGTGCATCCACATTCTCATTTTCCCATCCTGGTTGCTCTGTATCCATTAGCCAGGTTTTCCTGCCTCCTTACTTTCTCATCTTTGTTTTAAAGTGATTGTTGACTGTTTAGTCTTTTAGAGATGATTATTTAATTTGCACAGTGCTTATGGGTGTTACTCATTATTTTATGCACCAGTTTGATGTTTACCTAAAAGGTAACTGCAGACTAGTTGCAGTCCTAGGTTTGTAGTGTATCTCAGGGCAGTTTTCTTGGAGAGTCATTGGGTCTCCAGTAGCCAGTAGGTCTGTTTTTTTGTTGTTTAGGAATTTGAATGTGTTCTCTTCCAATTTTTATCCCATCATATCAGGCTCTATTTATTGTGGTATAAAACCTTAAAAATTGGTTGTCGTGTTCTTTCTCATTGAGTTATTTGCACTCTAGAATTGGGATATACTCTTGAATTGAAAAAACAGTGATCAGTTTGCTTTATTTAGTCTGTGGTAGTATTTCTCTTTCTTTTATTTCATTTCATTCAGCAGCAAGTGAACACCAACCTACTTGCCACAGGCACTGTGCTAAGGATACCAACAGTGAACAAAATAGATATGAACTCTGTTCTGACTTTGGACAAATATATCAAACATATTCTATAATGTGTATTAATTTCTTTTTTTTTCCCTCACAGGAGGAGGTGGGAGGTGGGAAAGAAATGATATATAATCGTATTTCATCACTTTGCCACACTCAGTAAAGTGACTAGTACCAAGCAGTGAAAGAAAACATTGGCTTTTGAAAAAAAAAAAAAGTCAATATCATCTAGTCACTGACTGTTTTTTTTTAATCAGTAGTAAACATTGAAAGAACATTTTTTAGTGTCTGCTTTTATATGTAGTATCTATTCATAAGAAGGTATCCTGACTTCTCTTCCAAAACTATATTTTGTATATTTTTATTGCTTTTACGTATGCATATTTGCAGAAATTATTAAATGAAAATGACATGATTTGAAATTTGGATTATTATTAGTCTGCATTCAATAAATCGGTTGGGAAAAATAAAGTGGTGACGTGAAAGGAATTTTCTGTAAACTTTAAAAAGTATTGTTGATGAGTTCTGTCGAGTTGGTTCTGACTCATAGCGACCCTGTATAGGGTTTCTGAGGAGTGGTTGGTGAGTTTGAAGTACCAACCTTGCAGTTCAAACCAACATGGTTGTCCAGTGCCTATCCTATAACACGACACACATATTAAAATAGTGTTGCTTATGGGAGGGTTCCAGTAACTATAGAATGCATCCATGCTCATCTGTAAATAGAGGCCCAGTAACAGATTCCATATAACTCTCACTAGGCTCAGCTGCTAACTGAAAGGTCCGTAGTTTGGACCCACCAGCTGCTGGTGTGACAGTCTGCTTCTGTGAAGATTACAACCTTGATAACCCTATAGAGCTTCTGTGAGTTGGAATCAACTAGATGGCATCATGTTGATATAGCCAACAACAAAAAGATAACATGGAAAATCTTGATCTCATTGACTTGATAAGTAACTAAAATGATAACAGTGTAGTAAGTGATTTGTGCTTATGTTGATTTAGAAATCAAAAACCATTTCGATGCTTAGAAAGTTTCATTTTAAAAAATAAAAGAAGGGGGGACTCCTGATTAATGAACATTTAAAAATTAACTAGGTCAAGTTTTCTTTCCATTTATTTTTAAAAAATTATTTATTTTATTTTATTTGTGTATATAGCCAGAACCACCAAAGAAACCATCTAATTGGAGAAGAAAGCATGAAGAATTTATTGCCACCATAAGAGCAGCAAAAGGACTCGATCAAGTACTTAAAGAGGGTGGCAAACTTCCACCTCCACCTCCACCGTCATATGATCCCGGTATATGAAATGCTGACAGAAATGCTCATGTGGAGAGAAAATATTGATAGAATTCTTATAAAGTTCAAATTATTAAACTATTATTTGTATAATGGAACTTAATGAAGCATAATCTTTAAATGCTTTGGTTTAATAGTGACAGTCCAGGCCTCTAGCTTTATAAAGGCACCCCAGCATAGAACATAGAAATGTATTATGTTTTTATCAAAATAATTTGATTAAGTTATTTAAAGATTGTAATGTAGTTTTTTAAAATTATTATGATGACTATTAAATATTACTATTCCCAGAAATATTTTAATTAGCGTTGCTGTTGTTAACTGCTGTTGAGACGATTCCGACCCATAGCGAACCTGTATAGGGTTTCCAAGGAGCAGCTGGTGAGCTTGAACCACCGACCTTGCAGTTCAAAGGGCTTTGCAGTCTGATGCATTAGCCCCACTGCGCCACAGCAGGACTCCATGCTAATTATACTCACTGTGAATTGAAAGGTAGATTAAGTAGATACAGTTTCCTGCCCCTTTGGTGCACCTTGGTGACTTCTCATGTGGACAGGAAAAGAATCATAATCTATTTTGCTTGTCAAGTGTTAAATTCATGTGGTAAAACTACCATATAGACTAATGTATTTAAAGTATTCCTTAAATTCAGGTGTTATTATATTTCTTTCTTTGAGTCAGTAAAATTTACTTAGTTCTTGTTCCCCAAAGCAAAGCAAAATGTTGGCAACCATGTGTAAGATACTAGAATACTGAATGACTTAAAATAGTACATTTGACCTTCACCATTGGTTGTTGGATCAGACTAAAGATGTAAAAAGTTAACACATATTAAAATTATATTAGGAGTCTAGATTGTGGTTTATTTTCTAACAGAATATTCTTTAAAGTATATTTACATATATGTGTGTGTGTGTGTAATCATTTTTGAAATGTTATTCTAGAGTAGAGGTCAGCAAACTGTTTCTGAAAAAACACCAAAATAAATAAATAGTTAGACTTCATAGGCCATAAAGCAGCTTACTCAACTCTGCCATGATTGTCCAAAATCAGCTGTAAACAATATGTAAATAATTGGGCATAGATGTATTCTAGTAAAACTTTATTTACAGAGCAACTAGATGTGTTTATAGTTTGCTTATACTTAACTGTTCTGTAGTATTGGTATTAACTTTAATTCTGGGAGTGTTTCTAGATAGTGTCTTTTAATTCTTCTTTAACTTCCTGCCTGATGTTGAGTTCTTCCTCTGCTTTGGAGGTATTTGAATATTCCAGCTACTTTGCATAGCTGCTTTTCTCATGTCTACATAGTGTCAGGGATTGAATACCAATTTTTCAGAATGCTTTGGTCAATTTCTTGGGAGTAGATTCCAAATCTACTCTTCTAGTAAGAGAGACAAACTTCTGAGCTTTGGTTAAATATAAACTGTAAAGGGAAAATTCTGTATCAAAAAATGTACACTGCTGAATTTTAATATTATTCTAGTCTCACTGTCTCAGTGTTTCTTGTATCTCATTTAGTTATAAACTTTTAAAATGCTACAAAATTTAATCAGATAATTTGATGCTTTAATTTTAAAAGATAATTATTTATAGTATACTTTGTATATCATATCTATCAGGAATATTTTATCTTAGAAGCATTTGCTGTTTCTTGAATTTTAATTGTGTTAATGAGGTATATTTTTTTTTATCACTTCTGAGCTCTGGTAGTGTAGTGGTTACGAATCGGGCTGCAAACCACAAGGTCAGCAGTTCGAAACTACCAGCTGCTCCGTGGGAGAAAGATGAGGCTGTCTGCTCCCATAAAGATTTACAACCTCAGAAACCCTGTACAGGGACGCTATGAGTCGTTGTCGACTCCACGGCACATAACAACAACAGCAACAACATATCTGTTTGGAGCCCTAATGTGGCACTATGGGTTAATGTGCTGAAATACAAGATCAGTTTGAATCGCAAAATTGGCTTGTCAGCCTCCTTGGAAAACCTATACAGGGTCTCTATGGGTTGGAACAGACTTGACGGAACTCAGCAACAATAATAACATATCTCTTTGGACAGCTAAAAGAATAAAACCTTATAAAATCGATTCAACTACCTCTTGACAATTTTCCTCTAATTAAAGTACAAGATTTTAATATGTCAGCCCTTATTTTGAAATATATATATGTATATATATATTTAATGTTTTATTGTGAATTATGTGATAGTTTACATGAGTGGATTTTAGTTTTACTTTCATTCCATCATATATCATTTCATTGCCATGGTTCCAGTCCCCTCCGTGCATCATCTACCGACCAATGGGTATATCCTAGAAACACCCCCCCCTATACTTCCCCCTCCCCTCCCAGTCTTCGACCCGCAGTCCCTCTCCCTCTCTGGATCCAAAATCCCTAACCACTTCATCACTCCACGTCGTCGTCTCTGTCTCCATCTTCATTTCAAGCATCTCTGCTTCTCTGAGTAGGGTCCAGCTCTCGGCTCTTCTCCGTTGATGGTCCTAGAGACCTCCGCTCCTAGACTGGAGAAATAATCATTCCCTTCCTTGCTACAAAACGTCCACCTTTGCATTTCCAACCCTCACAATCAGTCCTGATAACCAGTATTCACTACAGTATCACAAGTTACCCATCTGTATTTCATTTCATCAGCTACGCCTAGACAGATTGGATAGTACTCACTGGTGATTCTGTCTTCCTCCATGCCCCCTAGTTCTAGGTTCCCTCTTGAAAGCTTGTAAGCCAGTCACTTCTTGCCTTTGTAGTCTCCTCCTCCCCATTTGGATATCCAATGTCCAAGTTGCCCATCTCTGTCTAATCTGTGTGTGGAGGTGGTGGGAATGTTTCTTGCTGTAAGGATTTATTCCTTCTTTTGAGTCATTGCATTCATAGGTATAGGTCAAGTTCATCAGATTGTATCAGCTCAATCTTTTTTTTCCCCTCTTCTTTCTTCTCCTAGTTGAGCTCTGATCATCCAGTCATCAGGTCCAGGTCACATGGGTACCATCTGCAAGTGTGGGTGTTCTTGTGCACATGCCCTTTCTTCCCATCAGCTGGTAGCTCCACTCTCCACTCAAGTCCTCCATGGCCACACCACTGACTCTGGGCCCAAGAGTCCCCAGGTCTCCTCACACTGTTTACCAACCAGGTCCCCAACTTGAAATACATTTTTAATGTAATGTATTATTTTAATCAGAATTCTCCCACGATAATTAGCATTTTGTATATGGTGGTGTTGGTGTTGTGCCGTGGAGTCAGTTTCGACTCATAACTACCCTGCCTGCATAGGGTTTCTGAGGCTGTAAATCTTTATGGGAGCAGAGAGTCTCAGCTTTCTCCCTTGGAGCAGCTAGTAGTTTTGATCTGTTGATCATGAGGTTAGCAGCCCGACTTGTAACCAAGATGTTACCAGAGTTTCTTGTATATTGTATGTACATGATGATAAAGATATGATTCTAAAGAGACAAAAAAATTTATTCTTCAGAGTATTCATTCTATGGGATTTATCATCTGTTGGAATCGGCCTGATAGAAACGAGTTTGTTTTGTTCTGCTTATTCATTCTGTTGTACTGAGGATTTATCTTTGACTTGTTTTCCTTTTAGTTTTGTTCCAGCAAACAGTTTTCCTGTAAATTTTTACTGACTATAGATTGGTTGATACAGGGTGTTTATAAGGAAAAGAGAGGTATTGCTTATCAGATTTTCTTGCTTATGTTCTGTGTCTTGAATTACAATCCATAAAAATTTGTGATCGTTTTGTCTTCTTCGAGATACTATGTTATTAACCCATTTCCATTTTTATCTGTTTTTAGATTATATTCAGTGCCCATATTGTCAGAGGAGATTCAATGAAAATGCGGCTGATAGACATATCAATTTCTGTAAAGAGCAGGCAGCACGTATTAGTAATAAAGGAAAATATTCTGCTGAAGCCAAAGGAAAACCAACCCCTCGGGCACAGGTGAAAACTCAATTTTAAATATTTCTACAAATTAATGAGAGAAGTGTTTTTTGAAGCTTATAATTTTGTGTTTTTGCTTTGTAAGACACTTAACTGTCATTTTCTCACCTAAAATTTGTATATAACTTTTCAGGGACTACAAAAAACTTGTGGGGGGCTATGTCTGACTTCCTCTGGCATTACAAGGGGGAAGGAGAGCCAAACTCAAACTCACCCCAAGACAAAGTCCTCTGAAGTGGAGGTCAGACATTCCTCCACCCTACAACCTTCTTTGCTCTGTTCTGATACCAAATATCCCTCCTACAGAACTCTGTGCTTCATATCTGGGTTCAAGATTCCATTGTATTGGCCACACAGAACTCAGAATAATGCTCACGATTATGTGGTTTTTTAGGGAAGTGAACAGGATACAATTCAGGATCAGAAACAACTCGAGATGCACCTGTTACCTATTTAGGAACTCTTCTTCTCTACCATACTGCAGGCATGCCTCACTCTTGTCTTTGGCCTCTCAGCTGTGTGGCCCCTTGGCTTCTGCCTTGTTACATAGCTCTTTTAGTCAGTCTGTAAATGCCCAAAGGACACATGATGCAAGTCAGCCTCTTGCCCTTAAGCACTCTGCTTTATTCTGTCCCTGGGCATAGAAGCTCAAAGGTGCTCCTTCTCTCCACACCACCACCTCTGCTGCCACCTCTGCCGTCACTGCTTTTCTAGGTAGGGATCTCATGCTCCACTCCTGCTCTTCTTTCTTGATGGTCCTCTGATAGTCTCTTCCTTCTTGTGAAATGGCTCCTCTTAAGCATAGCGGAACAGCAACTAACTGATTCCAGCACTAGGATCTTGTGCACCCTGTTTGTGTGGTCCCACTCAATTATTTGGTAGAAATTAAGACTTTTCATAGAAAAGCCATATCAAATAAACTCAAGGTACCACAGTGACTTAGTAAGGAATTAAAATAGCCAATTGAAAAAAATATTCAGAGTAATTAATTTGAAATGGATTTGAGTTAGCAGTGACTTAAAAATGTACTAACTTAAAGAGATGGCAAAAGAAAGTGAAAATAAAGTACGATTCAGAGGGAAGTAGAAGACTATGCACTGAAAATCCGTATTTAAAAATTTATATAGGTATTAAATGTTTTCATGTTTATGTGAGTAATATACATGGTGGAAGTAACTGGGTCAATTCCTAAAGCTACTTTTGAGTTTTTAGGCAAATACCATTTCATGTATGTAATCCTTTATTTCCTTTCTTATATAGTAGCATATTGTACACATCTGTCCAATGGTTAACTACATGATTATTTTAAAGTAAAGTGAAATGATATACATATCAAAGTAGTTAGTAAACTATGTGCTATTTAAAGATTTTGTTATAATGGATTAATTTTCATACTACTATTGCTTTCTGTTAAGCTCATTGTTACACAAAAGCATTGATAATTTCAGACCTTCCAACAAATTTCAGTTTTCACAAATGGTTCATTTATAAACAGCTCTTATTGACTGCTGAAAATCTAGCAGAAAATGAAAAATTACTGTTAGAGTCAATGGAGAAGAGAGACGGAGAGCAACAGCAAGGACAGGTGTATTCAAGTCAAACCTGGGAGAGGCTTGCTGAACATGGCCGGAAGCATCCTCCCATACAGGCTGAAGGTTTTTATGAGGGTTTAGGAGGAGGTGGAGATTAGAATCGTCTAGCTGTGGCGGAAATGGGCTTTTGTGAAGTCTTGCCTTGGGGGAGAATGTAGATGAGGGACTTGGGCTGCTAACCTCAAGGTCAGCAGTTTGAAACTACCAGCTGTTCCGTGGGACAAAGATGAGGCTTTCTGCTCCCGTAAAGATTTGCAGCCTCGGAAATCCTGTGCAGGGTCACTATGAGTCGGGACTGACTCCATGGTACTTAACAACAACAATAAGGCGCATAACCACCACCACCAAACTGGCGGAAATGGGGAATTGAAACTTAAGGAAAATAGACATTGAAAAGAGTTTTGGCGGTTGGTCTCAAAATAGACTCACTCAGACTCCCTAAATTACAATTTATTTCTGTTATTTTTGAATAAAACATTGGATTAAACGGCACTGTAGAAAAAGCACTGAACTGCTAACTGCAAGGTTAGTGGTTCAGTCTCACCAACCATTCCTCAGAAAGCATGTACTCTACAGCATTTAACACTAGCAAATAGAGTTGAAGCCTTCTTGAGAGAATCTTCTTGTCTTTAAAGTAATATTGAGAATGGAGCTTATAATTATCAAAGTGGAGAACTCATTAAGAAAGATTTCCAAAACAGATGTCAAAACAATGCATTTCTGAATTTAACTATACCAAGAAAGCTAATGTTTCCATTTTTTTGGCTAAAATTGTCAAAAGTTAGAAAAAAAAGCACAGTAGAGTCTACAGACTCTTAACTAGTTGGTGCCAAATGATTGGTAAATTCAAAACCCATTTCCTCATCATAATGGTAATGGTGCTATCTGATCCCATGACCACTAACATAGCTTTTATTTCAGTCTGAGGCTTTGTTTTCTGATCTCTTTTTCATTTCCATATAAATTTGAAATCAGTTTTTAAAAATATACATACACATACAAATCCCTCATTTTGGTTTGGAATTGCATGTGACATCTCAGTGTGAATCTCTCCCTTGATTTAGGTCTTTAATATCTTTTGATAAGTTGGATAATTTTCTAAGTAGGTATTCACATATATTGTTCTATGTGTTCTTAACTACTTCATATTTTCATGCTATTATAAATGCTGGTTTGTATTTCTAAGATTTCTATTGGCTTATATAAATACAGTTGACTTCTATATTGATTATATATCTAGTTTACTTGCTGAATTCTCTTATTTTAGCAGTTCATCTATGGATAGTTCTAAGTTTTGTTTTCATTGATTGCTTTGAATCAGAGACAATACTATTTAAGATTTTAGATGTTTAAAATGTGTTAAGATATACATGGCTTGGATGTAGTCCATGTGTTTTGCAGTTGTTATGCACACTAAGCTAAAGAAGACCAGTAGATTAAGCTTGTTAATGCTGTTTTTCAGATGTTTTGTATCCTTAGTAATTTTTTTTTAAATTTCCTTGTTGTATCAGTTAGTGAAAGGTGTGTTAATATATCCTACTGAGACTGAAGATGTGTTGTTTTCTTGTAGTTCTATCAATTTTTGCTTTACAGTTTTAAGGTTATGATTTTTTTGCTAAGTGCCATCAAGTTAATTACTACTCATAGCAGCACTGTATAGGATTTCTGAGGAGCAGTTAGTGAATTTGAACTGCTGATCTTGTGGTTAGCTGTCCAGTGCTTATCCTACAGTGCTACACCAGGACTCCAAGGTTATGACTGATATTGTTGTTAAGTGCCTTAAAGTCGGTTGTGATTTGTAATCCTGTATACGGTTTCCGAGACTTTAAATCTTTTCAGGAGCAGAAACCCTGATATTTTTCTGACGGAAAGAGCCTGGTGGATTCGAACTATAGACCTTGTGACTCTCAGTCTAATGCTTATCATATGGAGCTGCCACACTCACCAAGGTTTTAACAGTTGTTTTTAAGTGCCATCGGGTTTATTCTGACACATAGCAACCCTGTATAGGGTTTCCATGGAATGACTGGAAGGTTTGAACCTCTGACCTTGTAGTTCAAAACAACCTTTTGGTTAAATGTTCTACAGTGCCACACCAGGACTTCCGGTTATAACTGTTGTTGTTGCCAAGTGCCATCAAGTTGGTTCCAACTCATAGTGACCCTGTATATGGTTTCCGAGGAGCACTTAGTGAGCTTGAACTGCTGACCTTACGATTCAAACCCATTTTGCAGTCCAGTGCATTAACCCACAGTGCTATGCCAGGGCTCAGGTTATAACTAGGTACTTTCAAATTTAAAATTTTACATCTTCCTGATAGAATGGTAATGTCATTAGATAGTGATTGTCATTATTTTCAAGGAGCCCTGGTGACATGGTATGGAGGTCAGGTAAGCCATAAAGATTTACAGCCTCAGATACATTAAGGAGCAGTTCTGTATCCTGTCGAGTTGCTATGAGTTAGAATCGACTTGATGACATTGGGTAGGTCCATATTTCTAGAAACATTCTGTATCAAAGTTCTGTAATGTACCAGTCCCTGCTTTCTCTCATAGTATTTTTCCTCTCTGAATATTTTAGATTTCAGTTGCCTATCTCATAAAAGGAATATATGTTTGGATATTGTGTTTTGTTTTAAAACTTACTTTGAAAATCTTTTTAAAGCTTTCCTTATTCATTTAGCCTAAGTACTGATGTATTTGAAATATACATTTATCATCTAATTTTATAGTTTGTATTTGTCTTTCCTTCTTTATCTTTTGAATTATTATTGTTAATTTTTTTCTACATATACATAGATTCTTTTATATCTTTCTATTCTTGTAGTTTTTTTCCCTAGAAATTATAATATGCTTGCTTCACTCATCTAAGTTTAAATCATATCCTTTAAAAAATATTGTCATTATTTTTCTTAATTTTTGAACTCATTTTCCATGCCATTTTCTTTTCTTCCTTCTTTCTGCATTTCTTCCATATATCCTTGGATCTTTCTTTCCATTTACTAATTGTATTTCCAATTACATATAATGTGCATCTAAACTTGTAATTTGAGTTTCAAATCACCTTTTTGACATGTGCTTTGCATCCACTAAATTGTACCTACTTATAGCACTCCAGCGTTTTGACATCAGTTACTAAGGAAAAGGTATTCAAAACTTAAACAGTACTAATGCATTTTTCTTTATTTCTTTTTAATTTTGTCAGTTTTGCTTCAAGTATTTTTATAGGCTGCTATAAGTATCTAATTTATTAATCCTTTTGCTTATTACAGTGTCTCTTTCGTTTGTGATGATAAGCTTTCTGTTGAAGTCTGCGTTATCCAATGGCAATATAGCGATTCTGATTAAGTGTGTGTGCTTATTTTTGTTCTATCCTTTATCTTAAATACATTTGTGTTTATATATTTTTAGTGCATCACTTACAGACAGCCTGTAATTGTTTTAATTGCTTGTTTTTTTTAAATCCAGGGACATAGGCTCAGTCTTTTAATTAAAGTGTTCAAGAATTTGCATTTAATGTAATTATTAATATCACTGTGTTTAGGTCTGTCTTGTTGCTGTCTCCTTTTCTGTTTTTCTCATTTCTTACAGTCCTCTGTTCCTCCTTTCTTGCCTCTCTTATCTTAAATTATTTTATTTTCTTTGTTGCCTTTCTAGCTATAAATCTTTGCACTCAATTTTTAACTGTTGCTCTTTAGCTTACTACAGTACTAGCTGTTTCCATAATCTTAGTGCTATTGTTGTATATATGTAATTCTACAGACAGATGAGCCCACCGATATGTGTTGTAGCTTTTACTTTAGAGGTTATGACTTGTAAAGAAATTCTTGTTGTTAGGTGCCAGCGAGTCAACACCGACTCCTGTCGACCCTATGCACAACAGAACGAAACACTGCTTGGTTCTCTTTGCTACCTTTGAGCCCACCGCTGCTGCCACTGTGACAGTTTGTCTCGTTGGGGGTCTTCCTCTTTGTCTCTGACCCTCCACTTTACCAAGCATGATGTCCTTCTCCAGGGACTGGTCCCCTCATGATAATATATCCGAAGTACAAGAAATGAAGTGTGTTTAAAGAAATTAGGAGGTAAAACTAAATTTGACAGAGTTTAAAAGTGTTCATGAAAAGATTTCATTATCTTTCAATTCTGTTTTTCCATGAACTTTTTTAAAATGGGAAATTCTTTGAAGAATTTCCAGTGTAATTCAGGTTAGCATATTTATATTGATTGTTTTTATTTATTTCCTCTTGTGTTTTGACACCAACATAACAGCTCCTAACTGAAAACCAAACTCACTGTCATCAAATTGATTCAGACTCATAATGACCCTGTATGAGTCTAGGATTTAAATCTGTACGGGAGCAGATAACCTCAACTTTCTCTCAAGAAGCAACTGGTAGGTTTGAACTTCTGATTTTTAAAAAATTTTTAATCTCAAGGTCAGTAGTTCAAACCCACCAGCAGCTCTTTGGATAACCTATACAGGGTTGCTGTGTATCAGAACCTACTCTATGGCACTTGGCAATATCTGGTAAATAATTCTCCCTTCCCTCCCATCTCTGATAGCCATCAATTTTATTATAGAATTTAAATCATTGACCATTTATAGTAGTAGTCTCATACAGTATCTGTCCCTTTGCAATTGATTAATTTTACTCAACATAATGTTATCCAGGTTCCTACATGTTATGTAATGTTTTGCAGAGTAATTGTTATTCTTCAGTGTTGCATGATATTACATTGTGTATATGTACCAACGTTTGTTCAACCATCTCTCTGCTGATGGGCATATAGGCTGTCTGCATCTTTTTGTTATTACTGTAGAGAACATGGACATGCATATATCTGTTCATTTTACGGCTCTTTTCTCTTGAGGATATATACAAGTAGAGAGATTTCTAGGTCATACGGTATTTTCTATTTCCAACCTTCTGAGAAAGTTCCATGCCATTTTACACAGTGGTTGTACCATTTTATTGTCCCACCAACACTGCCAAGGGTTTTTTACTCCCTACACCCTATCCAGTATTTGTTATGTTCTGTTTTTTTTGAACTTTACTATTAATG